TGCCTATCGTTCTATTTACACAATGTTGAAGGAAGTCAACTCCATCAAGATTGTATCTAACTCTCCACACAATCAATTGGCTTTTACTATGAAAACCTCATATTGCTCTTTCTCTAAGTTTATTGAGAAATCTCTTACCACTTTCTGCAGGAACGTGGTCAACACTCTAACGTACTTTATGGGAGAAAATTAAGAATTTGATCGCGTTTGATTTTGTCTAAGACACATAGTTTTGCAGAGATGTCTATTTATCTTTTCATACTGTATATCTGGGGCTTCTGACCCGATACTCTTTGTATGTTTAATTGTTTTTTTTTCTCTCTATCTTGCTCATGGTTTGTTTTCCTTTTTTATTATGTCAAAGGGTAAGAATATCAACATGGGAATACAGAAAGGTGGAGCAACACTTAGGGGGAGCACTCAAGTGACTATTCATTCAAGGACAATCAATTAGGGAAGTCGTCTTACACTTTCATTAATTATAGTTGTCATTATCAAAAAGGGAGAGATTGTTAATTTGTTATGTTCTGATTAATGAAAAATTACAGGAATTAACAAACACACTACGAGCAGCTTAAAGTCATAACTCACATTAATTATAGTTGTCATTATCAGCGATTGAATATAAGACTCCGAATGAGGTATGGTCAGGTGAACCCTCTAACTATTCATACTTGCGAATATTTGGGTGTCTAGCTTATTATCATGTTAATGAAGGAAATCTTGAACCAAGGGCTATGTAGATGGAGTAAAAAGGTACAAACTTTGGTGTTTGTCTTTACTCAAACTTGTAGTTAGTAGAGATGTTACCTTTGATGAATCCTCTATACATGATCCTCGTAAAGTTTCTGTGGAGTTATCAAAAAACGAGAACAACGAGCAGGTGGAGCTTCCTAAGTAACGGGATCAAGAGACTCAAATTGATGAGTCAAAACATACGAAGAGGGCTCAAGATCCTTAATCTCTTCTTCTGCAGCTACGAATGCATGTGATCATATTTTCTTGCTCTATAAGAAATTTTGGTTTCCGTATCTTTCTTTTGTACCTTCCCTTTGCAATTGTGTAATGCAGAATGGCAATTATCCATAATGGAAGAGATGGAGTCTCTTCACAATAATGAGACATGAGTCTTAGTTAAAAGGCCAAAGGGGGTGAGGACAGTTGGATGCAAATGGGTCTACAGAAAGAAAGAAGGTATTCCACAAGTGGAAGATGCTAGGTTCAAAGCTAGATTGGTTTCAAAGGGTTTCAGTCAGAAGGAGGGAATTGAATACAATGAGATATTCTCTCCAGTCGTGAAACATAGCTCAATTCGCGTGCTACTAGTATTGGTTACACAATTCAATTTAGAGCTTCAACAGCTTGATGTCAAAACTGATTTCTTACATGGTGATCTAGAAAAGACAATCTTTATGGATCAACCTGAAGGTTTCCTAGATAAAGGAAAAAAATACAATGTATGCTAACTGAAGAAGTCTTTGTATGGTTTGAAGCAATCCCCTAGACAGTGATACAAGAGATTTGATGCATTCATGACTACACATGGATTTTGAGGAGTGCATTTGATAGATATGTGTATCAGAAGAAGATGTCTTGTGATTCTATGATTTACCTATTGTTGTATGTTGATGATATGCTTATTGATGCTAACAACATCATAGAGATAAATATTTTAAAGAAACTGTTGAACAAGGAATTTGATATGAAGGATTTGGAAGTTGCAAAGAAAGTTCTTGGAATGGAGATTTCAAGAGATTTATGTGTTGTACATCTTTCTCAAAAGAGGTACATCTAAAAAGTTATAAAGAAATCTGCATATGACCAAGCCTGTAAGTACACCATTACCTCCTCATTTCAAGCTTTCAGAGTTACAAAAGCCTCAATCTATGGATGAAGTGGAGCACATGTCAAAGGTTCCTTATGCGAGCACAGTTGGTAGCATAATGTATGCTATGGTGTGTACACATCAAGATATTGCCCAATCTGTAAGTGTGGTAAGCAGGTACATGGAAAATCCAAGAAAAAGGCACTGGAAACTGTCAAGTGGATATTGAGATATCTCAAAGGAGCTCCTAATGTTGGCCTAACCTTCCAAAAAAGTGAAGGTACTTCAATTCTCGGTTATGGAGATTCTAACTATGCAGGAGATTTTGATTGAAGGAGGTCTACAACTGGATACATATTTACTCTCGTTGGCAGTGTCGTTAGCTGGAAATCAAATTTACAGTCTATAGTTTGTCAACAACAGGGCAGAATATATGTCAGCAATGGAGGCAGTGAAAGAAGCTATCTGGTTAAAAGGTTTGGTGGCATAATTGGATTCGGTTTATCCTGAATCAATTCTAAGATGTGATAGTCAAAGTGCTATTCATTTGATTAAAAATCAAGGATTTCATGAGCGCACCAAACTCATTGATGTCATATTCCATTTAATTTGAGATGTCGTAGAGGAGGAGCTATCAAGGTTTAGAAGGTTATCACAGACGATAACGTTGCAGACATGTTGACCAAAATAGTCCCGCTTGCCAAGTTTGCACACTGCAAGGACTTGGCGTGAGTATGCATCAATTGATGCAAATCTAAGTGAACAACTGCTAGGTGAAACTGGTATGTTCAGCAAAGGTTTGATTCTTATTGTTTCTTACAACGGGATTTCCCATAAGCTTAGATGTTTTGGATGGAGTTGTTTATTCATATGCTTGAAACACAAACCAAGGTGGAGACTGAAAGAGTTGGTTTGGTTCTTGTGGAATCAAACTAAATGGAAGATTAATTAACATGAATATTTGGTGTAGGAATATAATTAGTACAAAATAAAAGTCAAAGATAGTATCTTGGTAGGTGAAATTTAGGCAAACCATAAAATGGTTTTATATTCTTAACCTTGACATTTTTGACACATAGTGATGTCATGGATGACATCAATAAGATGAATTCATTCCTATAAATAGGTAATTCTTAATTCATTTTCAATACATTCTCTCACTTGCCTTCTCACCTTGTAAGGCATTTGTGTTCTCTCTCTTGTAGTATTTCACTTGTATTCTTTGTAGAGTGAAATAAATATTGGTGTAGTTGTTTTTTTGGTGTACGTAGGATCATTTTTATCCGAACCACATTAAAAATTCTCATTAATCCAACTGTTAAAAGCCAGACATAGAAAGAGTCAGCAGATAATATTAATAGAACTATACAGATACTATTGTAAACATAAGTGCTACTAGAGATTTTTTTGGAGAACTTAGCTGTTTTGGGAAGGAGTAATGTCGAGAAACATTTGGTGATACATTTCATCCACATGAAACCTCTGATGTCCTAATTATTAGTAAGAAATAAGGCAACCAAACGAGAACAAAAATATAAACATGGAAAACAGAGCACTCATGATAAAGAAATAAAACATAATAACTTGGATAAAGAAATAAACAGAAAACAAGGAAAATAAAACGGCTCTCCATAAAGAAGAAAATAAATTTACTTGAGATAACCCAAATAACACCATGAAGAATAGAGCAACTCATGATAATGACAAGGAAACAAAATAAGCTAGATTAAGAAACACCAGTAAATAGGAAAACTAGAGCAACTCTCGCTAAATAAAGAGGAGAAAACAAATTTACTTAGCAATGTGTATTTGATTGAGGCAAAGAGAAGAGAAACAGATTAATGGGACAGTCAAATTTTGTTGGAGACATTTATATAAATTAGTGAAGAAATCTAAAAAGTTTTTGAAACAACTGATAATAAGATCAATGGAATTCGAGAGTTGGAAAAGGGATGTTACAGTTAAGGAAGTTGAGCAACAACTAAACGTTTATGGATAATTAAAATAGGTTTCAAATTAATAATAGTGTAGGATAAAAATGGTAATTCATATTTGGAATTAATCTCTTCCCACTTACAGTAATATATAGTGATAGTATGCAGTTATTTGGGAGGAGATATAGATGTACTAGCAGAAGCTTGCGGAGTTGTGGTGGATGCGTTATGTGTCAGAATCCTCACATTGCACATAAAACATAACATGTACCATTATTGTTTAATGTGACTAATTGAGAAGACAAGGAAGAATCTCATGTTGATGCAGAAGCAGTGGTAGTGGATGGTAAAGAAGGTGTACCTGGTGGTAATATGCTAAGGGACGTCACTACCATGGTACTGGGAGGATTTTTAACGACAAACACAAACATCAAGCAGCAGTTCAAAAAGAGATTTTGGTTGTGTCAACCTGAAATGTCATAAAAAGATCTTTCTTGAACTGATTCTCGAATCGCTTATAAAGAAAAAAGTTGAGCTCAAGGTAGGGATATAATAGTGAAGACGCTACAAGATAAACTGGCAGAAAAAAACTCGATGATTTGTGGCGTGTTGACTCTGCATCATGGCTTGAGTTCATTTACACCTTGAGAGGAATAATTTCATCCAAAGGAAACTACATTCTCATGACTACTGGTTGTTTAAATATATATTATTAACCATGTGTTTAGATATAGTATTAATTATAAAATAATTAATTATTCAATTTTAATAGATCATATAGTGGTTTAATTTCATCAGTAATTTAATTTATTGATTAGTGCCTAATCTTAACATGGGAATTTATATGTGTTTAATGGGAATTAAAATATAAATAGAAGAGTGCAATTACAAATTTTTAGTGGAATAATTTTTAATTTATTACGGTAATAATAATTCAAATTAATTATTTGGAATTATTTCTATAATAGGAACCCTCAATAATTAATTATGTGGTTCTTTTTGTGCCCATAGTTAACTAGAACTCAAAATATATTCTATGGGAAATGGGAGAAGTTTTGTCTTTCTCTATTCGAAGGAAAGAGAGAAGTATTTCTCTTTCTTTATTCTAAGGCAAGAGAGAAGTATATCACTTTTTCTATTCTAAGGAAAGGAAGAACGACATGACTTTTCTATTCTAAGAAAAGGAGATGTACATATATTTTTATATTCTAGGGAAATCGATAGTATTCCTTCTCCTTGGAATAGGAATAAATCTCTATAAGTAAAAATTCTTCTAACACTTGAAAGAATATAATTTTTCCATAAAATATTTGTCCACCCAAGTATTGAGAGAGTTTATAAGTGAACTTGGGATCACTGGAAGACCGCAGAATTGTGGTATAGTTCGTGGACTAGCTTGTGGATTTTCTTGAAGGTTCTTGCTTGTCGACTATCTTGTGGATTAACTTGAAGGTATTTTCTCACGCTTCAAGAGGTAATTCTTCAATTAAATTTCAGAGAAGTTTATATGCTGTAACGTATTATACTTGTTCTAGCATAAACAATGTATTGTCTATTATTCATGCTGAATAATAAGTTGTATGATTATGGTATGCTTCCGTTGTGAATATAGTTTTCCAACACTAGTATGAAGAGGGTGGCATCCGTAGTAGCAGTAGATATTCATATGTTGGGAAGATTGACAAGATCATTGTTGGTCCATTTTAAAAAAAGAGCATTTGTTGATGGTGAAGTTCCAGAGGAAGTAGTGAGCATGGAGAAGAATATTGTTGAAATGTGTCAAGGTCCACCATTGGCTGAAAGTTTATTGGGAGGCCTCTTACGCAACAAGGAAAAACATGAATGGTAGGAAATTCGTGACGAAAACTCCCTTGTTGCAGGTCAATATAATAACTGGTAAAATAGCTTAAAGAAAATTGTAAAACTCAGCTATGATTATCTACCATCTCCACATCTGAAAAAGTGTTTCACTTAATATGCCATTTTCCCAAGAGATTTTGTGTTTAAAAAGGACCAACTAATCCAATTCTGGATGGCAGAAGGTTTTCTCTCCCATGTCAAGAGACCACTGTGATAGAAGACGTTTGGAAAATTCCTTGCTGCAACTATATATAACATATATTTGGAAGATCACTGTGATGAAAACCCGTCGAATTCTGGATGGCAGAAGAGTTTTTCAACTTTTATTGCAAAATTCCTTGCTGCAAAATAATAGCTAGATGAGCACAAGAATGTAACACACTATAAGATACACGATCTTGTGCATGATTTGGCTAGAGGTATCTTATAATCTAAAGTATTTGATCCTAAAAGTATTGGAAGAGAAAAACTTTCTCAAGTTTGATACTTTGGATGTGACTCACCAAGAGGGATCGAATAGAAAAGTTAAATGAGCCAGAACATTTGTGCACACTGTTCTGGAGAAGCAATTATGTATCTGAAGATATGCAATTGAGCTTTAAGTTCTTGAGAGTTATAAATTTATTCAGTTCAGGAATTGAGGTGTTGTCAGCAAAAATTAGCAAGCTAATATACTTGAGATATCGTTGATCTTTCCGACCCCATGATCGAAGTCTTGCACAAATCATTTTCCAAGATCTACAATGCAAGCATTTACAATCAATAGTTGTTTCACTCAGGAGGCTTCCAGAAGAAATGAAAAATATGATAATTTTGCAAAACATATATTGCAATTATCATTAAAAATCAAAGTTTTGTTTAGCATTTTGGGGATCAAGATCTATTGATCAGTTTGAGATACCACTAAATAAGGGGCATATGACAATACTTCAGACACTATCGGTTTTCTACGTAGGTTTAGAGAAAGGTAGTCAAATACAAGAATTAGGTCATTTGAAAAACATAGAGGTGAATTAATGATCAAGCATCTCCAATTATTTGTAAATGAAGAAGAGGATCGAAAGCATATTTACATGAGAAACCAAATATCTACGAGCTGGTGTATAATCAGAATGTTGTGAGATCAATGATGAGCATTTGTTGGATGTTCTTCAACCACATCCTAACTTGAAAACATAGAAATGGAGAACTATTTGGGGACTAGTTTTACTTCATGGTTTGGTGATCACTTGCTACCAAATTTGGTCGAGGGTAAATTAAATGGTTGCAAGAGGTGCAAAGAAATTTCATCGCTTGGACAACTGAAGTTCCTTTGACATCTTTAGCTGATATGATTCCCTGAATTGAAATGCATCAAAACTGGATTTTACTATGTTGAGATTAATGATAATGGATCAGAAACAATGATGGCAATATCCAAGTATTCCTATCATTGAAAGAACTAGTGTTGGATGATATGCATAGCCTTATTGAGTGGAAGAGAGTTGTTTGATTAACTCCAAAGTCTTGAGTTATGTTATTATGATGTTTTGTCCAAATATAGTATTTAGTGTGGGGGATGTGTGCTAGGTTTCAAGCAACTCTTGAAGGCAATAAAGGGAATCCTAAGATACTTGAACGGAACTTAGGACCTAGTCCTATTTTATCCTTCTAGGAATTCTTTGGATTTAATTGGATATGTTGATGTTGATTATGTGGTTTTTCTTGTTGGCAAGAAAAGCACCTCAGGCATGGAACATTTTGCGGGGACATCACTGAGCTTATGGGGAATGAAAAAGCAAAATTTAGTAGCCTTGTTCGCTACAGAAGTTGAGCATGTGATTGGTGCTTCATGTTGTGCTCAACTCTTGTGGATTGAGCAACAATTTGAAGACTTTGGTGTCTTTACAGATACTATTCCTCTTATGTGTGATAAAACAAGTGCAATGAACATGTCAAAGAATCTTGTTCATCACTAGAGGACCAAGCACGCTGATGTGAGACATCATTTCCTTAGAGACAATTTTGACAAAGAAAATGTGGTAATGACATTCTGTAAAATGAAGGACCAAGTGGCTGACATCTTCACCAAGGCACTAAGCAAGGAACACTCTATCAAGAACATACTAAGCCTAGGATGCACAAGCTAAACTAACTTCACAACAAATTTTCAAGCAATCTCCACTTTGACTATGCTAAGGAGGGCAGGTATTTGCACTTTTTTTTATTGCTTGTTGTATGTGAATTTATTTCTTGTACATCACTATAAGTTTATAGTAATGGAATTCCAAGGGCTTTCTATAGCAAGGGACTTGGTCCTTTTTCAAGATTAGTATCACTTCACTACACTATATTTTATCAATGGTATAGGTCACCTTTTTTTAGGGACCTCATACCACACATAAATAAGTCATTTTTCTTCAAATATTATGGTAACCAAACAAATTAAATCTTTTTTATTATCCAAATTCCCCTTCTCCTCTTTTGTTGCTCTTTTCTCTCTTCTTGAAAAATGTCTAATACCTCATGTCCATCAAAACTTTTCTCTCCCAGAAATTGAAAACCCTAGCTCCTCAATTTCTCAACTCTTCCCATGGACACTTCTCCGTCCAATCCAAGGTTAGGAAACTGGTGTATCTTTCACTCCCCACACTAAAATTTTGGAATCTCCCTCAACCAAATCTATGGATCCCCTACTAGGGAAAAGTCCCAAAACTCTGAGGCTCAATTGGCGATTTCACGCTAGAAAAAGGATCAAATAAGCTTAAACAAAGAAGCAAAGAATCAACAACACTAAACAGATAGAAGCTACATATCACGACAAAATCCACATTATCTTGAAACCCATGAAATCGAGTAGAAAATACAACACGTGGCAATATTCGAACTGTATAAGGCCCAACAAACATTTCTAGATAATAATAAAGCAACACACAATTCAAAAATAAATGACAGATGAGGTGAGAGTATTACATAGGGCGGAAGTTACCTCTAACTGGAACAAACGAGCTAGCAATGGTGAATTGAAGTGAAACTCCGACAGACTCTGTGGGCATCAAACAAAAGAGGATGAAGCCTATGAATCCAGACTCCAAATGTTTAGTGTATACTTCAAGTAAGCTAACCCTTAAGCATTTCTCTGCAACTTCTTCTTTCTCTTTTGTAAAATCACTCGGTATGCTGATTTTTTCCCTTTATATATGAAGTGTGTTCTCCCATCTCTATTTTTCCAAATTCCAACAATGAAGAAGAAAGAGCCTTTTTTAAAGAGGGGAAAGAATTGAGGGCTGATTTAAATAAAGGCATACAAATTCACAAGGATGCTAATAACCCAAATCAGGCAAACAAACAAGGTATTGGGCACTCAAGCTACTGTTCCAAACAAGTTACTCAAAAGAATAAATCCTAAGGGGTCGTTTAGTTACGGTATAACTTGCATTTTATTCACGTATAAAATAATGTATTAAGTTATACTATGTTTGGTAGAAATTTTTGTTTAGGTAGAAAAGTCAACATAATTTATACCATTATTTGTCGCATTTTTGTAGTCCTACATAATTAATACCAACATAAATTATGAGGGAATCTATTATAAAGTTATGCAGGTAGAAGGTGGCATAAGTTATGTAGATATTAGTTATACATGTATTAAACTGATAAATTACATATTTACCCTATTAACTTATTTTATTGTTTTTAATTAGAAACTTTATTGTTTTCCTATATATAAGTTTGTTGTTTTTATTTCTTTTTCATATTTAGACCATTTTTATTTCTTTTAGTTTTTTTTAATTGGTTTTATTGTTTCCTACCAATATGTGTTGTTTTTGTTTCTTATTATACATAGATTATTTTCATTTCTTTTTATATACTTACCATTTTGATTGATTTATGTAAATATAATAATTTTTTTAATATTAGAAATTGATTGTATATTTTTTAACAGTACATATGTGAATCAAATATTAGCATTATATATTATTCAATATATTTCACGTTTTATTAGCATGTATTATTATTTTGTAAATAATATATATTAATAATTTACAACAAGTTTAATATTCAATAATACCTACATAATTGAACCCTGCATAACTAATACCTGCATAACTAAACCTTGCATAACTAATACTTACATAACTAAACTCTGCATAGCTACTATCTGCATAACTAGCCATAACAAGTGACCAAACAACCCCTAATAGTATAAGCAAATAGGCTACTTAAATGTACTATACGATGATTATTATGAATGACTAGCATTATAATCCAAAGAATCCCAACAGCTTTCAAGTTCCAAGAAACAAATAAATAATAGAATACTATCCAAACATAAACAAGACGGAAATACGAAAAGGTTGAAGCATGTTGGTAATGGAGTTATTGGTGTATATATGAAAACAAATACAAATATTTGGGCTCATCAAAACCGTAAGACTGTAGTTGGTATTGAAATAAGATGAATGCTCTGAAGGAAATGATGAAGGGCTGGTAGACGCAAGGGAGATACCAGTTAACTCACAACAGCCAATATCATATAACAGGGAGCTATAATGCTATATTGGGACAGCAAAGCAAACTAAATATTACGAAACTCATCTGGACTGCACTTTCACAGCCAAAACATCGATTTAATGTATGGTTGGTTGTACAAGGGAGACTACTTACAAAAGAAAGATTAAAGCATCTCACTATTCCATTGAGATACTACATGTTGTGTCTGTGCAAGTCAATCTCTGGAGACTTAGTTACACATCTTGGCAGAATGCACTCGGCATCCTACAGTGGGTAGGAATAACCATACGTAAGGGTGAACTTAAGGAAGTGTTGGAAGGATTAAAGAGGAAGAATTGCAAGCAGTTTCAAAAGGAAGTGATCACAGCTATTTGGGGAGAAGTAATATCATACATGGAATGCAAGGAACTTGAAGATTTATAGAGGATCATCGATGAATATTGATATAGTGTTTGTAAAGTCAAAGGTTGATAACCAAGTTACTTAGTGCTTGTTTTTCTTTTTGTTTTAGTTGGAAACTATGCGTCTTAGTACTCTTCCTAGAAGGTGGCTAAGATGACATGTGAAATTATGGTGTAATGTTCTTGGTTGGTTAATGGTAATTTACAGTTTTTACCAAAAAAAATACAACACTATAGCTACCGCATACTTAACCAAAATCATGACCAATTTAAGGATGTAATAAAGTGTTGCATCTTACAAGAAACCTGGATCAGGCTAATGAAACAACAACAACTAGAAAGAAAGGACATGGCACTAATTGCCACTTTGAACATTATCTAAATTCATGAGTGCAAAACCTGATGAAGAACCATCAGAAAAAAAAACTGAAAGAAGACTAGAGCTAGAAATGGACTAAACTCTACAACGAAAATTCTACACTTGTACTAATTCGTACTTCCTCCATTTAAAAAAGAATGACCTAGTTTGACTTGGAACGGAGTTAAAGAAAAGAAAGAAAACTTTTTAATCTTGCGGTTCTAAATTAAAAGTTATGTCAAATGTACCAAAATGCTTTTTAATCTTGTGATTTTAAACATGCCAAGTGGAAACTTAAAGTTAAAATATTGCAAAAAAACGGAAAGGGACATTCTTTTTTCAACAAACTAAAAAGGAAATAGAGACATTCTTTTTAAAACGGAGGGAGTAGTAAAAGACTAGAGAAGAAAAAGGATCAAATAAGCTTAAACATAGAAATAAGAATCAGCAACAGATAGCAGCAACATATCACAAGAAAATTCGAATTGAACATTATCTTGAAACCCATGAAATCTAGCAGAAAATACAACACAGGATAATATTGGAAGTCCAACAAACAAACTATTCCAGATGATAGGAAAATAAAGAATGATAGATGAGGTGAGAGTGTTACATAGGGCGGACGAAAGTTACCTCTGACTGGAACAAACGAGCTAGCAATGGTGAGACTCCGACAGACTCTGGTGGACATCAAACAAATGAGAAGGAAGACTTCGAATCCAGACTCCGAATGTTTAGTGTATACTTGAAGAATGCTAACCCTTAGGCGTTTCTCTGTTACTTATTTTTTTAAAATCTCTCTCTGTATGCTGATTCTGTGTGTTCTCCCATCTCTATTTTTTCAACCGAAGAAGAAGAAGAAGAAAGAGAGGAATGAAATGAGGGCTGATTTGAGGTGGAAATTCAAACTTTGAATTGGATGTTAATAACTCAAATCATGCTAACAAACAAAGTATTGAGCACTCAAACTATTGTTCCAAACAAGTTCATTAGAAGAATAAATCTGTATAAGAAAATAGGCTACTAAATGTACTATATAATGAGTATATTACGAATTACTAGCATTATAAAACAAAGAATCCCAACACCTTTCCAGTTCCAAGAAGCAAATATATAATGGAATTCCATCCAAACCAAAACAAGACAGAAATATAAAGAGGTTGGAGGATGCTGGAAATGAATCTATTGAACTTTGAAGCAAATAATGAACAGGAAATCTGAAACATCTGAAATACAAAGCTAGTATTGATCTTAAATCATGAGTTGGAACTTCAAATAAACCAGAACAAAATCCAGCCACTCAAGAACAGAAATTAGACACATATATATGACTTGAAACAAAAAGGAATAGCCAAAGATTTATGCTTACAATTACGCCCCTTTGACAAAAGTGAGAATGAATAGTGAAGAAATCAAAGGATATCGCAGATACATTCACAACTAAAAAAACTTTATAACTAATTGAAGCAAAGAAGATAAAAAGTACCAGATTAATTCAAACTGTAATAAGGCCCAACAAACATTTCCAGATAATAACAAAGCAACACACATGATTCGAAAAGAATAAAGAATGATAGTGATAGATGAGGTGAGAGTGTTACATAGGGCAGAAATTACCTTTGATTGGAACGAACGAGCTAGCAACGGTGAGACTTCGGTGAACATCAAATAAACGAAAATCCATACTCTAAATTTTTAGTGTATACTTCAATAATGATAACCCTTAAGCGTTTCTCTGTATGCTACTTCTGCGTGTTCCAACCGAAGAAGAAAGAGGGGAATGAATTGAGGATGAATGGAAATTTAAAATTTTAATTCCTTTCTTGAGGATAACGGATTCCCAACAGACATTTGATACGAAGCAAAATTCAAAATTTGAATTCCATAAGATATGGCTGCCAGCACGAAACTTGTAACGGATAATTTATTAAACGAAAGAGACAATTTGGGAAGACGACTGAAGTGATGTACGCGTATGCTCGTGGATTCTATACGTATTTCTCTTGTATGGTTTTTTGGAGAAATTTAAGGGAAAGGCATCTAATAAGTCTGTTTTGGTTTTTGTGACATATTTACCAAGAGCTGATCAAATCCTTTTTAAAATATAATTAAGTAAATATGGGACCAAATTAATATTTCCAAAATTTTTTTATCTTTTATAAAATATAAAAAAGCACACTTCTATAATTCAATCCAAATTATTTCAAAAAAAAAAGAATCAAGAATCTTTTCATTTTCTTCTTCCTCTCTCTTCTCTCTTCCTCTTGGGGGATTGTTCTTCTTTTTCCTTAGAAATTCGGAAATCCGTCTATCTCTCATCCATTATCTTCCTCTCCGATAGACTATCTCTATCTCCATTATTTTCCTCCTCCTCTCCAATCTTTACTCTCACATCTATTCTGAACTGAAATCGTGTTCGACTAGAAATGGGTAAGTTATTTTTTTGAAATATTTTACAATTTTTGAAGTTTTTTTCTTTGATTAATGAACAATAAAACGTTCCATAGATGTAAAAATGCATATGTATTGTTAACATTCAGTGAAAAAGTCATTTTTTGTTTCTTTTGTTGTTCTTTTTGTGGCCATTTTGTTGATATGATTTTAGAAATATAGTATTGTTCAGTTCCAACATATATTCCAACATATATCTCACTTATGCGTTAGGGAAACAAAATGGTCATTTGTGGCAACATAAGATTCATTTGTGGCAACTTAGGATTCATGTGTGTCAATATAAGAATCATCTGTGGCAACTTAGGATTCATCTGTGGCAACATAAGATTCATCTGTGGCAATGTAGGATTCATCTGTGGCAACATAAAATTCATCTATGGCAATATAAGATTCATATATGTCAACATATGATTCATCTGTGGCAACACAAATTTCATGTGTGACAAAAGTAGATACATATATGGCAACATAATGATAATTTATAGCAACATACTATCCATCTGTGGCAACATAATGTTAATTTATAGCAATAGACTATCCATCTATGGCAATATAATGTTAACATTATTTATAATGAATTGAAAAGTCTCAATGTTTTTAATTTGCCTTGTATATGAAATGATACAAGAAGCTTCATCCATGACAACAAATCAATCTTTTATTGGTCTTGCATCCTCTTCTAACATCAAATGCTCTTTTTGTCTATGTGAAGAATGTGAGAAGCAACATAATTATTCTATTAGTCGTATTAAAAAATTCACTGATATTGAAGTGTAGAAGGTTGCAAGAATCTATTTCCCAAACACTTTCTACAATTAGTGAGAACAAGGAGAAGAAGAAGAAGTAAAAGGATGAGAAAGAAAAGAAGGAAAAGGACGGGAAGAAGAAGCAGAAGCAGAAGAAGAAGGATAAGAAGAAGGAGAAGGAGCACGAGAAGGAAAAGGATAAGAATAATTATTTACAATGATTACACAATTGCAGAAGAGAAAAGGACGATCACTACTTATCCAATTACTCAAAACTTAATTTTGCCCAACTTGATTTTGTAGGTGTATTTCCAAAGAATAAGGACTCGTTCTACGTAATGTCTCAACCCAATAAGTGTTGGACTGATGAGGTAAATCCTTGCCCACTTTTATGTTTGGTTAATGCATGAATATATGCAAATAAATTTATACAGAGATACACTTGTTTGATGCATCTGTGCAGTATGTGGATGTCATTTTTTACTATTTGCGTAAGAAGTCGAAACAACAACATAGTCATTCTAAATATCGATATACAACCGCTAGTTGTTTTTCACAATATACATTGACAATGCTAGTGAATATGAGGATAAAATCGTTAGCATAATGAAAGGGTTTGCTATACCTTGTGGACTGCCTTGGCACTTGACAGATGATGTTTATGTCCCCGTAAATAATAATGGGGAATTCCATTGGGTCTTAGCAATCATTGCATAGAAGGAACGGTGCATAAAAGTGTATGATTGCATGTCCTCATCTAGGTCTAATAGAAAATTGTCCTCCGAGCTTCAAAAGTTGTCTACAATGTTGCCAAAGTACCTTGAGTTAAGTGAATTGTTTTAGCAAAAATAGCAAACCAACTGGCCAGTTCTTGAATGTTATCAAGGAAAGAACAAATCTCACTCATTCGAAATCAGACATGTTACTAGTATTTCCCAACAAGAAAGCAGTAGTCTGTAAGTATCACATTATTTTTTTATGTTATGACTATTAAAATAATGTGATGTTATTATATTTTTTGATTGATGATATACCATGCAGAGATTGTGGACTTTTTGTTGCCTGCATATGCTTAGTTTTTGAGTGATGGATTAGAAGTACCATCTTGTGGAATTAATGTTGACACCCTTCGCATGAGATATGCTTCACTCTTATGGAATTATACAATTTTAAAGGCTTAGAATGGATATGTTTATGACAATGAAGACCCACAGAGGCATATACCTAAAAAGGCAAAGATTGATGAAAATGTTGCAGTTACCACCATTGATTAGATAGGTGGTTATTTATATTATTGTGAATTACCTTTTTGTTGATAAGTTGTATAAAACAATTGGTGAAAAATTAATATAATTATCTGGATGTGTACAAACACAAAGGATACATGTGGAAACATATTTCACAAAAAAGTGATATGTGGTAAGATATGTCACAAAAAGGATATATGTGGCAACATATGTCACTGTTTGAATTGTCAAAATTAAAAAAATTAAACGGATTTAATATAATTGTCCCTTAATTTTTCCTCTCTCCTCTCTACTATAAAAGTAATTTCAATTTTTAACTGATAATATTAATCATCGTTTGTCTGCATGTGTACCAACAGAAAGGGGTCATGTGGCAACATATAATACAGAAAAGAGATATGTGGTAAGATATGTCACAAAAATGAAATATGTGACAACATTATACTATATATATAACATATGTACCCCAACAAAAAGTATATATGTGACAACATATGTCACAATTTGAATTGTCATAATTTAAAAAAAATAAAACGACTTCAGTTTCCATTTTCATTTTCCCTCCTGTCTTCTCTCTCTCTCTCTCCTCTCTCCTCTCTTCAATAAAAGTCGTTTCATATTTCAAATTTTATTTATTTTTACTAATTTCAATTTTCTTTTCTCTTCCATTATTTCTTCCTTCACAAATCATTGTTCTAGCAATATTTTCTAAAATATTAGTGGTAATTTGTTGCGATCCTCTTCTACGGCAGGCGTTGTTGTCCTCATCATTTCTAGTTTATTGTTGATACACCTTCTCAGGTAATATTTAATTACTGTTTGAAATGCATATGCTTATCAGCTTACTTGTCTGCCCTGTTTTGAGTGGTTTTGTCACTTTTTTGGCTGATTATGTAGTTGTTATATTTTGAAATATTTTTTGATTTCAAAAAACTTCATTGTAGTACATTGTGGTTTGTTTAGGAAGGATCTTGTGGTTTGTTTATTCGTTTGTAGCTCATGTGTGGCATTCAAATATTTTATTTTTGTGGTTTCAGATACAAATATAACGGCTCCTGTCAAAAGAAAAGTTGATACATCTGACACAACAAAGATCAAGAAGAAGGCTAGGTCTAAAACTGATAGGAAGAGGAATGAAAATACCACTCTTTAGAAGATCTTGCATCTGAAGCAGTTTCTTCTTCTCAAGTAGAAGTAGAATTTTCTCAAAAAAAATATGAAGAAAGAGAAGTAGTGGAGGAAGAAGAGGAAAAACAAAAAGAAGTTGAGGAAGAACAACGGAAAGCTATATAAGTATTTAATAGAGAAGTAGTTGGGGATTCTCAAGTAGCTGAGCCACAAGAAGAAAAAATAAATGAAGTCGAGAAAGAAAAAGAGGAAATTATAGAAGTAGTTCATAAAGAAATAGTTGAGGCACAAGAACAAAAAATAAATGAAGTTGAAGAAGAACAAGAACTTCATGAAGGTTTCAATGCTACTGGTGATGATGGAAATAAAATCATCAATGTAGACACTTTCGTTGTGCATCTGCAGCCTAATGTTAATGGTGATAGCATTATTAGGTCAGTCCTGGTAAAACCTTTCATCAAATTCAGGGATATCCTCAAGAGAAATCATTTGAAAGATTTTTTGAGAAATAGTTGTTTCGGTCTTTTTCTTGATTTACCCATCGATACAACTCCATGTTTTCAAATGACCATTGTGTATGAACTTCTAAAAAGAAGGTTCATTTTTGAAAATCCCAAAAAGAAGGATGAGATTGTGATTAATTATTGTGGAATGCCAGTTTTATTTGGCAAAAGAGAGTTTTCCATATTTACAGGGTTAAAAGGTCATCCTCCTCTTGAGCCCGTCCCTGAATGCATTGTTAAAAAAGAACCACGGAAAAGAAAGAAAGAAGTAGTAGAAGCAGGACAACAGTCACTGCAAACTGAGGAGCAAAACCTGATGTCCCTTGTTGGCAAAAGATTAAAAAATTCTGACTTAGTAAATTTTTTGGAACACGAGGATACACCAAGGAAGCACAATGAGACATTGTTCTTACTTTGGTTTACACATAATATACTTTTGCTGAAAGATCTCTACAACAACATACAGTTAAAATGGGTGACTTTCTATCAGGATATTGAGGCTTTCAGCAACTACCTTGGGGTCATGATAGTTTTGAATTAAACTCTCAAATATTTGTTGGAACCTTTAGGAGAAAAGACCGGTAACTTGTTTGGCTTTTCATGGTCTTTCATGGTAAAACTAAATTTTCTTAATATTTTTATATTATATTAAGTAATTCAACATTTGATTAGTGACATGTTTTCCTTTTTTACAGGCTTGGAAATTTGAAGTTATTCCTTATTTGACCTATCAAGTAATTGCAGAAGAACAAAGATTATCTCCAAGGATAATGAGATGGTTGAGATCAAGAACAAAAAATATCAAAGATGGGCATATTCCAGATCTTTTTAACCATCCTCTTGATGCAGTAAGTTATTATTAGTATATTACACTCTTATGTTGATATAGATGACTCCTATGTTGCTACAGATGATTCTTCTATTGCGACATGTGATACAAATATTACTATAGATGATTCATATGTAGTAACATGTGACATAAATATTGCTACAGATGATTCATCTGTGGAAACATGTGATATGTACTGGCAATATATCACCCACCTGTAGCAACAAATGACATTTTTATGGAAACTTATGACCCAAATATTCTTACTGATGGCTCATTTTTATAATTTTAGGTTGTGCATCCATGAATTATTCCAACAGAAGAGGAATTGTAAATGCGGTATCTAATTTCTCTAGGGTTGCTTGAAACCATTTTTCATCATGTTGTGGATAGAGCTAAAATGGAGTTGGTTGGACCAACAACCATCAAAAGAGACAAAGTTGTTAATGTAGTTGTTAATGAATTAGTTTTTTTTATGGTGTTGGTGTTGGTGTTGGTGCTGATGTTGGTATTGCTGCTGGCGTTTGTGTTGGTGTTGGTGCTGGTGCTGGTGCTGGTGTTGGTGTTGGTGCTGGACAAGACCTAGGGGCTACCTCTTGTAGAAGATGTTGTGGATTTCTCTGTGAGAAGTGCAAGAAACATAATGAAGATTTTATCATGTATCTTCAAATATTGAGTGAAGTTGTCAATGAATTTTAAAAAAAAGAGGGGGTCAAGGGAATTCTATCAAAGAATGTTCGGCATCCATATACTCCACAAGCCAAGAGGAGGAAAGAATCATTTGCCAAGGCAATACAAAATTTGAAGAAGAAAAAGATGTTTGGAGAATTTCCAAGGGTCGTAAAAGATGAAGTGAAGGAGTACAAAAGTTGAATATTTATATGCATGTGACTGTAGCGGAAAGAACTAAAGTGTTGAGTCTGACGAGTGCAAAGGATATTCGAATAAAATACGGCATGCATGTTTTTACAAGAGAAGATTTCAGGAATATGAAAAGCATAAAAGTTTGGTGAGAAGACTGGGTAATCCTTCAATTTATAATGCACGTTTTTTTATCTTTTTAATGAATACTCTTCTTTACCCTTTAATATTATTTTTATTTCAGTATATTGATGAAATCCTTAACCTCATGCATCAGAGGCATGAGACATATTCAGATTACTATGATCCCAGAGATAGAATCCTGGATCTCAACTTCTATACCAACTTCCAAAAAAAAAAATATTGAACTGCGTGATGAGACAACAACTATTGGTGGCAGAAGTATTAAACAGTTAGTAGATGAGTTTGTATGAGATGAAGATATGATTGACTATGTCAGGGTCATTAGGCCATATCCTGGAGGCATGGATTGGATTGATGCAAAAAGAATTTTGCCAGTCATGAACATGGATGGTACCCATTTTGTGACTCTCGAGATTCTCCTGCATGAGGGTCGCATGAATGTTTATGACTGCCAATTGATGCTTACGGAACATGCCAAGTTTTTGACATACATACAACTTGTCTTCGAGTTGCTGCCTAAATTGTTGAAGCAGAGTGGAATAATGGAACATTTTCTAGAAAAGTTTCTCAATGAACCATGGGAATTTACAGGTCGAATGGATCCCATGGTTAAAAATGAATCTGGAGCGGCGTGTGGGTCATATTCTCTTGCATTCATTGAGCATTTGGTTAGGAGGACAGAGATTAAACATCCCAAAACCCTGTTGTGTGACAAACTATTTGAACAAATGCAATATGTATGGGCTCATGGGATAATATCTCGAAGCTTAAAGCCTTAAATATAATGTGTTTGCAATTAAAGAAAACATTTTATTTTTTCAATTCTGTTGCTTTATTTCATCTTATATTTAGAGCAAATACATACATAGTATGTGATATGGATAGTTCTCATCTCTAGCAACATTTGAGGCATATGTCACAACACATGTCTCATATGTAACAACATACGCCTGAAATGGTCATCTGTAGCAACATTTGAAGCATCTATAGCAATATTTGATGCATCGATAGCAACATGTCCCTCAAATGGTCACACAATAGCCTCAAATGGTCATCTGTAGCAATATTTTATGGTCATCAGTAGCAACATTTGAGGCATATGTTGCTACATATCCCTCAAATGGTCAAACATTCGCCTTAAATGGTCATGTGTAGCAATATTTTATGGTCATCTATAGCAACATTTGAGGCATCTGTTATTACATTTCCCTCAAATGGTCAAACATTCGCTTCAAATGGTCATCTGTAGCAACATTTGAGGCAACTATTGCTATATATACCTCAAATGGTCAAACATTTGCAACATTTTATGGTCATCTGTAGCTACATTTTATGGTCATCTGTAGTAGCATTTGAGGCATTTGTTGCTACATATCCCTCAAATTATCAAACATTCGCAACATTTTATGGTCATTTGTAGCTACATTTTATGTTCATCTCTAGCAACAATTTTAAGGCATCTGTTGCTACATATCTCTCAAATGGTCAAACATTCTCCTTAAATGGCCATTTGTAGCAACATTTTATGGTCATCTGTAGCAATTGACGCATTCTTGCTACATATCCATCAAATGGTCAAACATACGCCTTAAATGGTCATCTATAGCAACACTTTATGGTCATCTGTTGCTACAGATGATTCTGTCTGTGGTGATATGTGACACAAATGTTGCTACAGATGCCCATATGTGTCAACCGATCACACATCCGTAGCAACATGTGACTCATATGTTGCAACATATGTCTCAAATGGTCGAACATTGGCCTCAAAGTGTCAAAACAAACATACATTTGATCAGGAGTGCAAAAACTATGTTATTTATTTCCACAACTTGATAATTTTAATGGTTGTACACAACTACATAAGAATTTTCTATCTTCTACAATATTCTTGCTAATGCTTAATAATACAAGAAAAAAAAAGACAACACCAAGATTAGCTTCCACATGCCACAACATTTGGTCTTTTTCTTCTCCTCCATCCCCCATTTGGTATTTCTTTTAATATGACTTCCATCAACAGTTTCCAACTCCTTAATTTTGTTCGTCAATCTGATAATAATGAACTTGGATCGTATATCAACATCTTCACGATCACTCCATCTAAAGAAGTTACATGCATTCTCCTAAAATACACACCATAAAGAAACAAATTCAAATTAAAAAAAAGATCTGAGATCTGAAGTCTCCAAGACTGTAGAAATGAACATACACGATAGCGCGGACAAACCCAAAATCTATGACTTGGATTGTCCTTTGACCATGAAGTTTGCATTGAAAGTAATTCTCTATGTTTGCAATAGATTTCACACCCAACATGGTATCATTTTAATCATCACAAATTCGATTTAGTATTGCATTTGACATCATATCATTATGACTGATGAGAATCAAATAATATCCCTCGTTACATACATGCGCAGCGAGAGGTTCCCTCGTGTTGAAGAGAGAGCGAGAGACAAAAAAGCGCCAAAAATAAAGCGGCAAGGATGAAAAAAATGAATTCCTATTCTTGAAATGAAAATGAAATCCCTGATTTATATATATCCTTCTAGAAATGGGCTTTGACTATCATTGGGCCAATTTTAGTTTTTGTTTAACAAAATGGGTTTTGCCTATCATTGGGCAAGTTTTAAAAGTACTCACACGTTTAAAGTTATATGTTGCCACAGATTGCAGTATCTGTTGCAATTTTTCCAATAGAATTAGCTTATGTTGTCACATATGAAACATCTAGGAGGACTAATTGACGAATTGATCGACTTAGGAATGGAAAAATGAAAAGTTGGACCAAATTTTAGTGATTTAGAAAATAATTAAGAAATAAACATAAGGCATAACATTTGAAACAATGATTTACAAAAGTGTTATATAACTATCATATGGATTTAATTGGTTATTGTATGATGAACTAGTGGGATGATAGTCTTTGTAAATATAATTGATTGAATCGAACGAAGGTTGTTTCATTGGACCATAAATTTATACCTAGGCATGTTGTAGGACTATATGTTAGTATTACATATCGAATAAGGTTACAATTTAATTGAATTAACCCGTAAAAGACACAATTTATGAAATAACATGTTGCCACAGATGCAGTATTTGTTGCAATTTTGCAAATAGAATTTGCATATGTTTCACATATGAAACATCTAGGAGGGACGAATCGACGATTGATCGAGTTAGAAATGAAAAAAATAAAAAGTTGGACAAAATTATAGTGATTTAGACAATAATTGAGCAATAAAAATAAGGTATAACATTTGGAACAACGATTTACAAGGGTGTTATATAACTATCATATGGATTTAATTGGTCATTGTATGATGAACTAGTGGGATGATAGTCTTTGGAAATATAACTGATTGAATCGAATGAAGGTTGTTTCATCGGATCATAAATTTATACCTAGGCATGTTGTAGGATTTTATGTTTGTGTTACATATCGAATTGGTTAACAATTTAATTGAATTAACCCCCAAAAGACCCAATTTATGATATAAGATGTAGCCACAGATGCAGTATTTGTTGAAATTTTGCCAACAGAATTTGCATATGTTGTCATATATGAAATATCTAGGAGGGGATAATCGACGAAATATCAAGTTAAGCAAAATTTTATTAATTTAGGAAGTATCCCATAAAATGAACTACTTCATCTAATTCATAGTCACAACGACAAAAGTCACAACCATATCGGCCATAAGAGAATCGATGAGTAGTGCAACAAATTGGTCTTTCTCCAATCTTTTGAGGTTCCAGTGGAAACATTCCATGTAACTATATCGAAAATAATATTGACATCTTCTGAGCGATGGTATACTCATGTTGCCAATGAAACTTGTGTCTTCTTTAATTGATTCACTGCCTTTGAAGATTAAAATTATGGCATGCACATATCCTGCACAAAGGTGACCACCGTCTGCTGCTCGCTTAAGCATTTCCAATCTATTTGAATTGCTATGCTTGAAAAAATTATACTAAAGAAGAAATAACACATTTAAAATTCAAAATACATTGATAAAAACGTGAATACATACGAAAAGCATTTAAATTACCAGGCCTTCTCTGTATAATGCTTCTAAATTCCCCAACTAGCTAAATTTTTCCATCAAAGAAGTGCATCTCTGATAAAATGAAGACGACCATATAAACACTGAAATGCTGCGCAAATTTACCGATCTATATACAGAAGGTTCATTTGCGACTTTATTTAGGAGCCTGGAACTAAAAAAATCAAATTGAATAGTCATGAAATTGAATTAAATCCCAAAAATTGTTTCATACATACATACCTTAATTTACCCCTCAGTAAATCTTAGAGGGAGTAAGAAGCAACCCTTTCAACGATAACAGTTACTATTTCCCTCGAAAGGGATTCAATGTAATTTTTTCCCTCAATGTCATTTTTGAAGATTTCTTATTCTACCTTCCCATCTTCTTGGAGATAATTATATGAAAAGACCTAAGTTGTGTTCTTCTTATATATATAACAATATAATTCTAATGTAATGAATATGAAGAGGCACTTCTGAATACGAAGAGACACTTCTGAAGACGAAGAGACACTTGTGAAGAATATGTTGCCACAGATTTCATTTCTCTGATGAAGAGGTAAGTATTTATTGTTGCCACAGATTTAATTCAATAATAAATACAAAATAAGTACATATGTTATATCAAAATTCAAAAATAAGTACAAAAGACAAAAAGACAACATTTTCACCATATGGTATATGTATCCACAGACTAAATTAATCACACACAGTCGTATGAGAAAGAAATTTAACTAGATAATCTAGTTCTAAATCACAACTACACAATTCACAATGAATATCGTCTTCATCGTCACTTCCCTTGGGCCAACCATTCCTGCGGGCGTTTTGATATGGTTGATGCACATCGCAACAAATGGGTCTTTCTCCCAACACAATAGGTTCTCGCACCCACATTTGATTTAAAATGTATCGCAAGTGGTATCGACATCTTCTCACTATTATGGATCATTTTCATGGTGGCAATGATCAAGCCTTATCTCATGAATTTACCACCTTCAAAGATTGAAATTACGGCAAACACATACTCTACGCCACGGTGGCCACCTTCTGCTGCTTTTTAAACCTTTCCCAATGCAGTTGGATCATTACGATTGAAAAAATCAAACTATAAAACAAAGAACACATTAAGAACACAAAATATATTGATGAAATGAAACACATTAAAATTATCACGCTTTTATGAATAAGACTTCTAAGTTCACTGATTCTATGCAAATATTCACGAAAGAAATGGCTTCTTGATTCATCGTCCATCTAGGTTCAGGGAGAATGCTGACCAATGTTACCTTTTGATATGCAGAACGTTCATTAGCGACTTTATTGAGGAACCTGAAACTTAACTTAACACTCATTAAATCTTGTAGGGAGTAGGAAGCAACCCTTACAATGATAAGAATTACTAGTTCAATCCGGAGGGATTCAATGAAGTTTTTCATAGTTGAAATCATTTCTGAGACAATTTTTGACTTATCCCTCCCTTCTGTTGTGTTCTTACAAAATGCCTAGTGAAAAGTTGCAACGAAATTTGAAAAGTTGCAACGAAATTTGAAGAGTTGCGAGAGATGACTTTTTGAATTATTAAACCTGTTTTGAAGAGTCATAATTATTAAATCTGTTTCGAAATGACAGGACAGATTCGTAATAATTATTTGAAAGTATATTGGGACAGAGTCGTAATTAATTTTTAAATGTGCAATTGATATATGTTGCAACATATGAAATATGTTCTAATATCTAATACATAGTTGACATATGTTGACA